GTCATTTCTTAATCTCTAAAATGGAGATGTCAATTTCTACCTCAAGGATTTGTGCTAAGTATTCAATTAAGAGTTATTGTCAAGGTTTTTTTTTTTTTTTTTTTTTTTTTTACAGTTTATGATACACAGTAGTTGTAGCCAAATCATTCATGAAATGTCAACAAGCTTGAGGGCCTGGGCTTGAATCTTTTACAAGACGCTTGTTATGCTCATGACAGCTCTCTTGCATTTATTTTTTTTTCCTTTTTTTCTATTTTTCATGACAGCTCTCTTTTGAATATAACCGTAAGGATTTGTGCAGTCACCCAGTAGCTATGTAGTGTTTCTCAGGCTGTTGGTGAATATTCTTCACATAGCAGAACTAAAAGCATTGCTAAAATAAAGATAAGAAAGATTATACTATTTCTGTTTTCCATCAAGCAACTCTGTCACTCGATATTAGGAGCTTACATAAATCAGATAGAGAAGTTTTTCATTGCAAAATCATGTTGGTTAATACTAAGTAATCTGTTGTTTTAAAAATGTTTATTACTCGACTTGGCAATTTCTGTTTCTAGGTATAAGATTATATATTCTTGTATATATAAGGTTCAGTTCACCTAGTTATATTTATTATGTTTTAAGGAGCCGACACACTGGATTAGTTTCCTGGCCACATTATTAAATATGCAATTTCTTTAGATAAAACTAAAACTAAAATTTTGTTCTAAAATTTCAGTATGAATTAAAATTTTTAGAACGCTTGGCAAGCAAAAACTATTTTACTCTATTTTTATATTGCAAACTTAAGCAAATTAATAGAAATAAAACTGTTCTTTCAAAGTCTTCGTCATCTATTCCAAACATTGTCAGTGGGCAAACATGTATTTCTATTTTAGAATCAAGGTGTGCACACCGTTTGGCGTTTTTTTCTTTCTTTCTTTGGCAGCTGGCTGGTGTGGGGATCCAAACACTGGACCTTGGTGTTAGAACAGAATGCTCTAACCAATTGAGCTAACTGGCCAGCCCCTGTTTGGTGTTCTTTTTATCATCTCATATTTTCCTATGTGGCTAGGTAGTAGTCTGTAATTCTTAAAAATCTAGGGCTGGCCAGTTAGCTCGGTTGGTTAGACCATGGTTTTGACAACACCCATGTCCAGGGTTTGATCCCTGTATAGGACACCCACCAAAAAAAAAAAAAAAAAAAAAAAAAAAAAAAAAAAAAAAAAAGAAAGAAAAGAAAAGAAAACCTATGCAAGCAGGTATGTTTTCAATTATGCATTATGACCACTGAAAAATCAACTCCTTTACCAATCTTTTTTTTTATTTTTAATTTTTTTTTTAAAGATGACCGGTAAGGGGATCTTAACCCTTGGCTTGGTGTTGTCAGCACCATGCTCACCCAGTGAGCAAACCAGCCATCCCTATATAGGATCCGAACCCATGGCCTTGGTGTTATCAGCACCACACTCTCCCGAGTGAGCCACGGGCCGGCCCGAGTGAAAGATATTTTAATTTTAATTTTTACCCCTGATTGACCTGGAGATGGCTCATAGTATCTCACTACAGGGGTGGTTCTCCTGTAATTGATCACTACAGGGATGGGTCGAGAATGGTCCCCTTAGGGGATTTCTCACAAACCTGGGAGGAGAACAGTACTGTAAGATTTCATGATTGGTAGTGGCTTCTTGTGTTTCAGATTTATATTTGTATTAACTTTCTTTTTTTTTTTTTAAAGATGACCGGTAAGGGGATCTTAACCCTTGACTTGGTGTTGTCAGCACCACGCTCAGCCAGTGAGCGAACCGGACATCCCTATATGGGATCCGAACCCGGGGCCTTGGTGTTATCAGCACCGCACTCTCCTGAGTGAGCCACAGGCCGGCCCTGTATTAACTTTTAATAGGAGACCGATTGTCTGTCTCTTCTCTTCACAGCCAGGCTCCTGGAGTGAGTGGTTTACACACACCTTCCTGACTCACAGCTTATTCACTACTCAATGCCCACTGCACTCTGGATACCCATGAGGCCACAGTAATATTAGTCCAGGCTTATTTCTTCCACTAGGAATTTTCCTAGGACTTCAGCACCCAACTCTGTTTTATGTTCTCCCTATTTATTTCTAGGGAAAACTTGCCCTGGTTGAGAAATTGCCAAAAAGCCTCACAACTTTTCTCAGTGGACTAGAAAATGACACCCTTTTTAGGAAAAGGCACCCCTTCCCAAGGGCTCATGCAATCATTGGCCAAGGTCCATGGCCTGGCCAGCAGAGTGAGGGCTCCCCTGGGCTGCTGTCCCTCTGCAGGGCACCCACAGCACGCATTGCACAACCTTGTGAGGTAGCTGGGGTGTTGGGGTGCTCTGCTCTTTCTCACATCTGCCCATCGACATTCCTCTCACATGGTGCTCTGGTCTCCTCGTGGATCTGCACAACCTTGTGAGGTAGCTGGGGTGTTGGGGTGCTCCGCTCTTTCTCACATCTGCCCATCGACATTCCTCTCACATGGTGCTCTGGTCTCCTCGTGGATGTCTGTGTCCCATGACGTCTCTTGTAAAGCGCCTTGTTTGGCAAGCCAGTACAGGGATCAAACCCTGGACCTTGGCGTTGTCAGCACTGCACTCTAACCAACTCAACTCACTGGCCAGCCTCTCCCATGTTTTAAAAGCCCTCTAGCAATGATTGTCTGTCTCTTCTCTTCACAGCCAGGCTCCTGGAGTGAGTGGTTTACACACACCTTCCTGACTCACAGCTTATTCACTACTCAATGCCCACTGCACTCTGGATACCCATGAGGCCACAGTAATATTAGTCCAGGCTTATTTCTTCCACTAGGAATTTTCCTAGGACTTCAGCACCCAACTCTGTTTTATGTTCTCCCTATTTATTTCTAGGGAAAACTTGCCCTGGTTGAGAAATTGCCAAAAAGCCTCACAACTTTTCTCAGTGGACTAGAAAATGACACCCTTTTTAGGAAAAGGCACCCCTTCCCAAGGGCTCATGCAATCATTGGCCAAGGTCCATGGCCTGGCCAGCAGAGTGAGGGCTCCCCTGGGCTGCTGTCCCTCTGCAGGGCACCCACAGCACGCACTGCACAACCTTGTGAGGTAGCTGGGGTGTTGGGGTGCTCTGCTCTTTCTCACATCTGCCCATCGACATTCCTCTCACATGGTGCTCTGGTCTCCTCGTGGATGTCTGTGTCCCATGACGTCTCTTGTAAAGCGCCTTGTTTGTTGGGCATCCGTTTCCATCCCAGAGTGCTTCCCAAACCGCAGAGCCCCTGGGCTCTTTCCTGCTCTTCTCTGCACCGAAGCTTTGCCATGCTCCTCAATGAAGTGTGGAGAATGGCCTGTCAGCTCCACTGTGTGGCACAAAGCTTACCATGAAAACAGCTCTTCTGGCTGGTGGCTTTGACTTCTTCTTTGCACAGGGTTCAGAAGCAGTCATGGGGTATGACAGAAACAGTGCAGCCCCCTCCATGTACACCCTCTTCCTGCCTCTGCAGGAATGCCCTTTCTGTAATCCCCTCTTCCCTTTCCTGAAGCTAGCCTGTTCACCAGTCCTCAAGTGTGATCTTGGGATCCAAAGGAAATTCAAGATAACAAAGTAAGTAAAATCCCCAACTCCATGTTTGCCCAAATTAGCAAGACAACTGGGTGGAGTTGTGTGGTTTAGGGTTTCAATTTCCTAGATCAGACAGACACCTTTATTACAAAAGGCAGGAAATATTTCCATGATACAAGGTCTCTACAGGTGGCACGGGTTACTTTCTCTTTCCATTGGGAAAACACACGTTTATCCCATAAAAGGCTGAGCCAATGCCTACCTGCTCTGAAAGGCTGTTTTCCCAGTTTCAGAAAGCCTGAAACGTGGCAAACCATGTTATATTCAAGGATATCTGAAGATTAAACAAGGCACATCAGGATTTGACTCTTTCCAGTTCATATCTGAGATTACGTGGTTCAACATGTATTTTATACCAGTCCATCTAAGAAAGGGCCAATTTATAATGAGGGGTCCTAATTTGTTTGGAAAATCTCAAAGTATGACAAATTATGTTGATTATAACTGAATCCAAATTTCCCAAAGAAACACACACAAACAGACACACCATTTCCCCCTACTAATCAGCTATGGAACACTAAATGGATTTGTTGCTCGTCAGGTAATAAGAGTCTACATTTTTGTTTTAGGATGAATATGAATAAACTCAGTGGTATTAAACAGACTAGTTTTTCAAGAGAAAAGGAAATACTATTTTGCCCCAAATGACATTCTTGGATATCACTGTCAAAATATTGTCTGATAGAAAAAAATGGCAGGCATGATTAAACTTCTTGTATATTTAGTGAATTTTTCTTTTTTCATCATTAATTATATAAATCCTCAAAATCTTGTGAAGTAGATCAATGTCCTTCCTAATTTGATAAACATACAGTTCTCAGAAATAATACTGATGCTAACTAAAATTCAACATTTTGAAGAAAACATTTTAATATTATATACTTTATGGATAATTTTATATTGAAAATCAAATGTGGCTCATTCTAGGTCCTCTAATATAAATGTGTCATAGAGGAAAATTATGTTTAGAACATTAATTTTGATATTTCAAGAAATTGGCCAGTTACACGGAATTATAAATCTATAACTTGGATACCAATTCTTCTATGCAACAAAGCTTGTAGGGATTCCCTTTGCTAATTTCCCCCTTGGGGTATCTGGGTGTGGTTTGTTTTCTTCTCTGACTGGAACAAAGATATGCAGGAAAATCTTCTTTTCCAACTAAAATTCCTTATTCTTACAAACAAAATTATGCAGAGAGAAAAAAAGCAGCAGATCTAGCCTGGCTCAACTGTTTGCTTATATTAGTACATATATTGGATTTAATCCAAGTTAACAAAAATAAAGCCACAGGATAGGTATATGCAGGAGTATATTTAAGCTACTGGCTCACACACATTTTAATGGCTGAAAGTATATAAAAAATATGAAGGCGGAAGAAAAACAGTAAGCAGTTACGAAACATAACAAGTTTTCATATTCTTTATTAGTCTACATGAAGCTAGAACCTAATAACAATATGCCACATATGGTTCAGAAACACACAAAGGCAGCTTAGTCATTTATTTTGCATTTGCTCCTTTTAGAAAGTGAGAAAAAACAGCCCTATTGGCACTCAAGTTTATTTTCAATTAAAATCCCCAGAAATTAGAAAATGTCTTATAAAACTGTGAAAATGGAAAAAAAAAATGTTGTTCAGAAAAAACTTTCTTAACTATGCTTGTTTCCTATGGCACCTTGCATTTTTTGATCAGTCTTATAAGGACACTTAAGAAATAATTCAACCTCTGTGTTCATGTTCAGAATACATGAGCGTCTTGATGCAAATAAGAGAAAAAATGTATACTTGCTTAGTTTTGAGCAATTCTGCCATTTGCTCAAGTCCACATGAATGAAAGCACACCGCTTAGAAAACCAGGGCTTTGCTGCCATTGTATTTTTTCTAATTAAAATTCAGAGTATTAAACACAGTCGAGTAGATCCATGCATACATGACATACCGTCATCGCATACCGGAAGCTCAAATCAAGAGAAGGGAGCAGAGGCTTATCTCATAGCATCATTAAGATTCATTGTACATTGCATTTCAGAAGGGCTTTGTCAAAGTAGATAATAATGGCCTGTCAGAAACGTGCAAACAGAAATTTATATTAAGTTGCCCTTTCCATCCTTTTTTAGTATGAGAACCTAGTTGCATTCCTGGTATACGAGCTCAAGGCTTAATTGAAAAGGTTTCTAGGTTCTTAATAATGTAAAATATTACCAAAAAGAATATTAAAAAAAGTTAAGTGAAAAATATTTGAGTAACTAGGTAGGGGTATTCCTGGGAAAAGTAATCAAATGTAATGACTGTATGAAAACAAAAGACAGTATAGAGTGAAAAGACAGGAGAGTGAACGTAGCTAGAACTCATGAGTCACAAGGCAGAGCGTTTAATTGGGAACAAGTCAAATAAAAGTGTTGCTTTCTTTTCCTTAAGGACCTTTGGTCCTCTTTATACTATAATCTCAGAAAAGAAATTTCTCTCATTGAAACACCTTTTTTTCCTTTTATATCCTGCTGCGTGAAGATGACTGCAGAGACAAACTTTACAAGCTGGTTCCTGACAGCATGCGTACGTATGATGTTATCCGGGAATGAGACGGTGAGGATTTTCCTCCTTACACTCGATATTTTTCTTTACCATGTTCATTGATCACACATATATGCTGAAATAATAAAGGATTTTAAAGGCATCAGTTTCTTAACAAAATATGAGGCACAGAAAATGTGATGCAGTATTAACGGATGCCATCCTGTAATGGGTTATTGTTCATTGAAATATACACGCTTTTTTATTTTGGCGGCTGGCCAGCATGGGGATGTGAACCCTTAACCCTGGTGTTATCAGCACCACGCTCTCCCAATATATGTGTGTATTCTGTGTGAGTGTGTGTGTGTGTGTGTGTGTGTGCAAAATCTAAAGAGACCCAATCAAATGCCTGAAAGTTCCTTGTTTTGGTTTTGAGCCTTATTCCGAATACAGCTCCTTAGATCCCTAAAAAGTAGAAATTCTGAGGGAGAAGTATGTTTAGCCCTGGTGGAAATGAAGTCTCCTATGGTAAAATGACAACCGCTTGGGTGAATGGAGAAATAACAGTGGTGAATACAACATAGACTCTTATTCAACCCTTTTTGTGTAGCAAGAAATGCGTTAGAGATGTTCTGATTGCAAGCAACAGAAATGGAGTCAGACTACTATAAGCAAAAAAGGGGGATTTATTGGTAGGATACTGGGATAGCTTGCAGAATCCAAGAAGAGCTGAGCAATGACATAGCTAGAGGGCAGGAACACGGATAGCTCCAGAGACTTCACCCATGTGCTTGTGGACACTGTCTGGGCACTGCTACTATAGTGGCTTAAGTCTAAAACACCTTGGTCTCTGTGACTTTCGGTTTAAGTTTCTAATTTCCAGAAGTGAGACACTGATTGTTCCACTTTAGGTAAGATGTCTACTTTAGATCATTCAATGTTGGTCAGGATCACACAGCTAGGGTTCCACACTGGGGGTCCACGTCTGTGTGCTGAAGCCATTTCCTCAAAAGAAGGAAGAGTTATGAGCTGCATGACACTGTAATTGGAATCTGCAAGATTTCAAGCATTGACACAAAACCGTTTATAGAATAGTGGCTGTTGTTTTGGTTGGTTGGGTGTAGTCTATGACTATGGAGAAAAATCGGGGTCAAGCCATAGTTCTGCTTTTAGTTCCTATTTCTTCAGCACAAAATAGAGACAATCATCATCTGCTCCCATCATCCTAATACCCACCTTGAAGCATAGTGTGGGGAATTAACTAGAAGTATGGACGCAAAGTGCCCAGCATATTCCTGACACAGAAGGTACCCAGTAAACAGCAGTCATCGTTACTACTGTTTCAATAATTTGTTAAATTGATAAGTCACTGTTAAGTTCTTACAAAAAGGGGGCTAGGGATTTGCATGCGACACTTACATTCAGATCTCTGAAGTATTCGTTGTAATCTAAGGCATATCCCACCACAAATAAGTTTGGAATCTCAAATCCAGTGTCTTAGCAGAGAGAGAGAGAGAGGAAAAACAAAAAGAAATAAAATTTAGGTTATAAGTTTAAAGCCATCATATGCTGCAGTTGGCACTCAAACTGTGAAGATCTTTCATTTAAGCAGAATAAGAGAGAAAAGTGGTAAGAAATGCCCAAAAGGAACCTGGACCAGAATGATTACTCAGGGAGACAAGGCAAACACATGTACAATGAGGAATGGTTGCACTCCTCACATACAGAGTTGAGAATGGGCTCAGGAAGCCAGCGGATAACAAGTATGCATGAGCTAGTCATGTGGCCCTGTTGTTCCAAAGCAAGCAGTATGCAATGATATAATGCAAAGGAAACACTCAGAAAAACATAAAAAGCTGTTCAAACAGAGCACATTATAACACTGCAATACATGAATAGTTGTGCGGGCCACAGAAACCAGGAAGCAATTCTCCCACTGAACTCCGCGTCCTCAGCTGGTTAAAGGGCTGGAAAGCAAAACCTGGGAGACAAGATGAAAGGAGATGGGATTGTTCAGCTGGAGCAAGAGAAGGCTAAGGGTTACTTTAATGCTGGTCTTTGAGTCCACTATGCAGAGGATATTAATTAGCTCTTCATCTCTACTGAGGACAGAATGAGAGGAAATGGGTTTAAATGCATTACAGAATACTTAGGTTAAGCAAAAGAAGAACTTATTTAAAGGATGATTTTTATTGGAGAGGATCCTCAAGGAACAGACAATCGCTTTCCTTCTTCAGAGGTCTTGAAACAGAATAAATGTGCCTTGGTCCAGTGATTTTTAAACTTTTTTTCAGTGTTTTAGAATCTAATAAGTTATGAAACCATACTTAGTGCAGCTGGTGGACTTATAGCATGGGCAAAGTTATCTCCAGAGTGATTACTTACTAGCAGTTCGATCCCTACGACCAAAGCAGCTTTTATCACATAGAGAAATCAACTGGTTCCTGCTTACAGAAAGTGGTAGAGCTGAGGGACTTATTTTCTAGGGGGTTACATTATAGGGTCACTTGTTAGGGAGCCTGTTTGATTCTTCCAAACTGCAACATTTCTTGAGAAAAATAATCAAAGAAGGGAAACACAGAGCAGAAGAAAAGATGTCAGAGGTTACATTGCACATATAAGAAAGAGTCAATTATGGGAAAGGAACAGAAAACCAGAGAGAGAGAAGAAACAGAGATTCTGAGCTAGCTATAAAAATATGAGTAAATGCCAGGAAACCCTGGTTGTAGCAATAACCACTTTACAGTGAGCAACGCAATCCCTACACTAGGCGTGGCAACTCAGACTGGGAAAATTAGAGCCCAAAGCTAGTTCAGAAGGCCAACCATTGAGATGTCACGGAATAAAAGGACGATGGATCAGCAGGACAGTCAGGAGTCAGACTGCCCTGTCGCTGACTGGTAAATGAGTGTGGCTTCTACACATACATTTGCAATTGCAGATGTAGCGCAAGAGTCAGAGTAGTGAACGGCACCAGATTGTCTGGGTTTAATACTGGCCCTATGCTTACAGCTATGTGACCTTGGCAAGCTATTTAAACTCGCTGTGTTCAATCTCCTCATCTGCAAAATGGGTATAACAATTGTACCTCCCTGTACAGAGCTGATGTGAGGTTGAACTTAGTTAATTTCTATAAAGCTCTTAGAACGGCGCCTGGTATAACATAACCTCTTACCAGTGTTAGCCGCTATTGTTTTATTAACATTGTTGTTATAAGCAACACAAGAAATTTGTAATTGATTGGATATATTTGAAGTGAATGTTTTTCAACTTCACTTAAAATCTTATCTATATAGTATCTTATACTATTTCCTTAGAAAATTTGTTTAGTAACCTCATGCAACCCTAACTACGTCCGCATTATATTCCCGAAGCCAGTAACAACAGGAACATGCTACTGGGTCTGTCTGCCCAGAACTGACATGGTCTAGAGTTAGCATATCCAACACAGGAATGAGACTTGTTTTTAAAACCAAAAGTCACTGGATGAATGTCACTGGCATGTTACCCATCCATACCGTACTTCTCTTTTTCTAGTGTTTGTTCAGCTTGCTGATGAGAACTGTAGCCAAATTATCCCAGGGCTTTAGAGCAAATGCAAGTTATACAAATCAAGCTGAAGTCTGCCTATGCAAGTGAAACAAATCACCTCTAGTGTTAGAATAATAAATAATCAGGCTGCTTGTTTATCCTTTCTGGAGTTAGAACTTGTTCTACTATGGGGAGAAGTAAGGAACATGCCCTAGATGAGGAAGGCCCCCCAGAACACATGTCTGAAGTCAAGTGTGAAGATGTTATCTAGAGATACCTGCTCTGCTAATTCTCTGTTATTGAGCTTTTGTTCAGAGGTGGTAGGGAGATGTCTCTGATTTCTCCCTCTGCACGCTAAAATTGAGGCTTGCTAAAGGTCACCATTGTGCATTGTCTGGTAAGAGTTCCCGAAGATGGTATAAGAATCCCTCTCAACCTTTATAGAGCCTCTCGGTGTCTGATTGGCCCAGGCAGGGATCCTGTGCATGTGAATCGGTCCAGCGGGGTCAAGCCTTCCTCTACTTCCTGAAATGGATTAGCTGAGTTCTTTGTAGTTCAGGTGCTGCATAAAACCCCAAAATAAAAATATCCAATGCATAGAATAGAGTTCCTGTGAAAGATCCAAATTAGAAAATTTAAGACCCTTATTTTAAAGGGTTTTATCCTCCCTAGCAAGGCAGGGGAGACCACGAGGAATTTGTGGGACTATCAGTCCTACACGGCTCCCCACTTCACACGGAATGCTGTTAAATAGGAAATCAAAGATTCTTAAGCACAACACAAACCACCACCACCAAAAACCAAACAAACAAAAACCAAATAAAACACTTACAGTCAGGTCTGAAGCCATCACTTCTGGGTGTTCTCTTGACCAATAAACTACCATTGAAAAAAAAGCTTTAGTGATCTCAATAAAATCTCGGTGAATTACAAATAGAATTAAACATCATTAAAATCTGTATTTAAAATATGTGTTTTTTCCCCTCGAGCCTGTGGAGCTTCATCTCAGCCTTCTTTTAACTGGTGCTCTTGCTAGCGTGGCACCAGATCAAGGATTCTGGATAAAAGGAAGGGAGCAGACAATCGCAGCAGGGCTCATCTGGCTGCTCCCAAAAACATCTAATGGAGGCAGAGAAAAGAGGGCTGCAGAGACACAGCTAAGCATGTCCTCTTCCCTTCCTCTCCCAGGCTAGCCGTCCATTGGGCTATTTTTTTCAGTGTGGCCAAAACATAACACCCCAGGGCAAAAGGTCACTGGTTTGCAATAGAGTCTCTTCTTTGTAAACAGCATCCTCTGTCAGCAACCCATTTGCTTGTTTGAAAAAGACAGAAATCACAATGATATGAATGTCCCACTCACCTGGCCACCTTGATCATGTTGGGCTTGTATTTCTCTATGCTACTGAGCAGTGCTTTCATGGTCCTCCCAGTTCCAACAACATCCTTCGCAAAGAGGACACACAAATTCAACAAAACACATTCGGGCAGCATAAGGGATTTTTCATCCAGGGAGACATTACTTCTTAATAATGTGCCATAATTAGAAATGCTTTCTAATTGCAATCTAAGTAGGAGGTAGAGTTGGTTACATCTTTTTAGACAGGTGCTTCCTTCTGGAAACTGGGTTTGGGGGAATATGTCGGTGAAAATTTCCTCCTTGAATCCTTTAGCTGCGTTGAAGGGCTAAATTTGGCCTTTGGAGAGCATGTGGGCTCCTCGTTGAGCACATTTGGACTCGTGCATGCACATTCAAGGACTAAATTTGGCCCTGGGGTTATGTAACACAATACAAGATGCATGAATTTTCATGGACCTGGGATGTACATCTGAATACACTGAATGGATAAACACCTCCCCCTTCTGCTCCCCTACTCAATAGGGGATTCTATGGCTGGGAAATGTGATGTGTCTGGACAGCAGCTGGTGACAGTCCCTGAATTCTGAGGGTCAGTGGCTGCAGTGAGCTCAGGCTCATCCCCGCTGATGAGCTGCTGCACAATTAGAGTAGAGTGGGCAGCAGCAATTTATTGTCCTTGGGACAGAAATCAGCTGTCAGGAGCTAATTATCAAAACGACAGGTCTGAATTTAGCCAGGGTTGGGCAATTTGTCTGGCTAGAGGGTCTACTTCATGGGTTATGTTGGGCCAGGAGAACTGCAGATTCATATGGCACAATCAGGCAATTGTGGAACAAAAGCCTGAAAATAGCCCCCCTGAATCTTTGCCAGCTGATAGGACAGGTGTGTCCCTGAACAAAGCACGGCCATTTGCTGTATTAGTCCACTGCTGCCACAGGCCTTGCTCTTTCTCTCTTTCTTTCTTTCAACAGAAAAATAATTTTTTAAAAATCATAGCTTTCTCCTACATTGCCATTTTTAACTGACTGTATTTATGATTTTGATACTGAAAGTATTTGAGAATTGCTCAGACTCACTAGGGGTCATTAGCTAGAACACTGAATTAAGGATAAAGAGAGTTCCAACCTTGGTTTTATGATCATGTAATTTTGGTTTTGTAGGCTGGTTTCCTCTAAAAATTCTGACTCACAAATAGATAAAAGAACAATTCAGACATATGTGAAACTGGATATAAAAAAGGATAAGTATCTCATAACTATTATTGCAAAGCTTTTGTTCTAAATTATTTGAAGCCAATGATTCCAGTTGTCTCCTATTCAATAAATTTGGAAACTCAATAAATCCTTGGCCAATTTGATAACAAGTTGTATGTTTTAAAACTCACCTTTAGGGGCCGGCCCGTGGCTCACTCGGCAGAGTGCGGTGCTGATAACACCAAGGCCATGGGTTCGGATCCCATATAGGGATGGCCGGTTAGCTCACTGGGTGAGCGTGGTGCTGACAACACCAAGTCAAGGGTTAAGATCCCCTTACCGGTCATCTTTTAAAAAAATAAATAAATAAAACTCACCTTTAGATTCCTTCAACTTCCAAATATAGAAAAGGAAAAGGCAGCTTACCTCAACGATGAGGACATTCTGAAACGAACAAAACTCATATTTTAGAATACGATGGCTCACAAAATAAACACACATTTTGCTTATAGTTAGAATTTCATAATTTGCTTTGTTGGTCCTTCCCCATCTATCTAATCCAAATGACTGAGGTAATCGAGGTATTCCAGATTCATTTTAACAATCCCTCTGGAATTACTTGGTGTTGCAATATTAGTATCTATATTCCAGTTAGGAGCAGGCTTATTTTAGCCTGTTACCTGTCTGAAGAGCTATCCATAAAGTCATTGCACCTCAGTAATTCTGGCAAGTGCTCCCATGTAGCATTCCTTCGGGATGCAAAGCTTACAAAGAGTTTACTGGGAAAACAAGCCAACACAAACTGCATCACCAGTGGAAACAGTGCTCTGTAGGTGGATCATGTATTCAGCTACAACACCCCTATTCCTGCATAGCCCTCTGAATCCCTGGGGACTCAGTATTTACTCTTGGATTGAAAACCCTGAGGAAAGGGGTGTGCTACAGAATGAGCTATAAGGTGCTTAGTTTACCTTTTTAGTGTGATGTTTAGGTCCCTGGCTACCTGCTCTCCAGGCATTCCTCTACTTCTCCCCTAAGAGCATTGATTATGTTTCATTTTAATTTCTTGTTTGATAACTCCATGAGATGAGGATCACTTTGTCTTGCCTAGTAATGCATTCCCAGGCCCTAGCATAATGCGTACATAAAGATGCTCAATAATTATTTGCTAAATGAAGGAATAAAAACTGATTAAGCTTATTAATGAGTTAGCATCAACCAATTAACTGGGCTAGTAGTAACTTGTCAATGCTGTCCCACCAAATTAAAATACGACTGTGTTAATGCGCCATTCTGATTAACTAAATAATGACAATATTCTCTCAATGTAATGGTGTTTTTCTTTCTTTAGATGACCTTTCATTTATCCCTGTGATTTATGTAATACTTTAAAAACTGGATGAAGGGCCGGCCCATGGCTCACTTGGGAGAGTGTGGTGCTGATAACACCAAGGCCAAGGGTTTGGATCCCTATATAGGGATGGCTGGTTAGCTAACTTTGGAGAGCGTGAAGCTGACAACACCAAGTGAAGGGTTAAGATCCTCTGACTGGTCATCTTAAAAAATTTTTTAAAAAATACTGGATGAAATCTTACACATTAGATATCTTACATATATCTAATGCAAAAGAGATTTAAATAATAAAAATGTTAACCAACCAGCCAACCAACTCTGTTAAATTTGTACCATACATCAAATGCATTCTTAGGTGGAAATACCTTTCTGGAAGTGTTTCTTTGTCAGGAATGGTATTTTTATTAATTAAATCCACTAAAAATCTTAATTTCATCATTAAAATGTAAGATTATTTTGTCTATTTTGAAGCAGGTCCTGCTTTGGTATACTCTACTTTAAGAATCATCACAAAGGAGTCCCCTTGATTTGATATGATCTTAACCATCAATCCATAGCAGTTAGTTAGGATGTGCATTTTTTTAGTGGTTTTTTTTTTTTTTTGCATTTTTAGTTTGATTGAGGCTTACCAACTAGGACTATTTACCAACCAGAATACTTGGAGAATGTTGTGGTTAATTTAATTTCCTGATCACAATCTCTATTTGTTTCAACTTCATAAAGAAAAACTTTTCTAAAATGTGTTAGTCTGCATTCTTGCCTAATTAAATAGAGTGCACCAAACATAATTAAAAATTTTTTTTGACAGTTCAGAACCTTGCAAAACAAGAGTCATCTTTGGAAAGACTAGCTTCAACTCTAAGATATAGTGGTAGGTGAGAAGTAGGATGTATATTTGTACCGACCCTGAGATATATTGTCAAAATTACCCAAACACATTTTAAAATCGAGGTAATGCATATACATGTTCAAATAGATGGAAAGGTTTTTAAAGAATAATCTCCTCCTCCTACTTCACCTCTCCTCATTCCCAGTTGTGCTCCCCAGAGAGAGTCACTTTTAACTCTTTTAAACTGTTTTTCTGATTGTTACTTCTTTATTTCTAAAAAATTATTATATTAATGTTTCATATACTATTTCTGTTTTTAAAAATATTTAAATCATTTATTGATTTTTAGGTTGCTTGTTTTAAATAAAGGGTTTTCAAGTACCAATGCATATTCATTTTTATTATATACTTACACTTATTTTAAAAAGTTTGTATTTTCTATAATACATAAATACAAAAAAATTATAGAAGGTTTGTAAACAGAAAAGCCCAAAGATTTTCTAAATGTTTGATGTGAGTGTAATTGTCTAAAGTATTTTAAAATGTTTGTGTGCTTTAAAATAAAGTTATCATGACATTCTTTAGTATGCATAGGCAAAATATTATCACATCTAACAAAAATGATAATTTCTTAATAAAGTCTACTACATGTTCAAATTTCTCCAGTTGTCCTTAAAATGGCCTTGGTAGCTGGTTTGTCCAATCTAAGACAATGTATTAGATCTTTCTCTTTTTATTTAGAACAGTCTCTATTTCTGCACTTTTATTTCTCAATTTAACAATTTTATTTTATTTACTTATTTATTTATTTTCAGTTGGCCAATATGGAGGATCTGAACCCATGACCTTGGGGTTATAAGGCTGCACTCTAACCAACTGAGCTAACCGACCAGCCCTCAATTTAATAATCTTAGACATCATCTATTTATTGTTATTTAATAGATGAGAATTCAGTTCTTCTACACTACTTCACTGTCCCCGTTTTCCATGCAGTTGCTTTGTTATGCTTGTATCTTCTTATACTACTTACACTTTTTTTCTACTGAAGAGTCAAGTAGTGCGCTAGGATTATATTTCCTTTTAGAGCTTGTTTCTTCTTTTTTTGGATTCTTAATTGTTTTTTCTTTCTGTCTTTTTTTGGGTGACTGGCCCATACAGGGATACAAACCCTTGACCTTGGTGTTATCAGTACCTAACTGTTTTTTCTATCTTTGTCTTTTGTCTTTTTCCGTGTCCGGCAACGGATCGCAACCCTCAGTGTTGCCCCCATACCGGACCGGGGACCGGCAACGGGATCACAACCCTCGGTGTTGCTCCCGCGCCTCGCTCAGCCAGTGAGCAGGAACCGGTCTGTATGTGGGATCCGAACCCTCGGGCGGGAGCGCCGCCGCGCTTCCCAAGCGGCGCACTTATCCAGTGCGCCACCGGGCCGGCCCCCAGCACATCTTGAAATGGGTATTTGTCAAATATTTTTAGTTTAAGTCCT